AATAATACAAGTAATGTAATTAATTAGCTAATAATATAGCTAATAATATAGCGTTAATGAACCAATGAAGCTAGTTCAGAGATTTAATAAATAATATAAATAAATATAATATTTATGTTGCAACACATTAGACTCATAATTAATAGAATTATTTCAACATTCAGACACAAACCAGAGTTCGGAGTTGAAAACATTTTCTTTTCAAAAACTAAGGATGATAAAGAAAAAGAAAGAAAGATTTGTAATCCGTTTCGTTCTTTAGCGCGTAAAAAAAATCTATCTCTGACGTGTATATTCATTGTTTCAAAAATGAAAAAGAAAATATGAAAATTTAACAGTATAATTATTCACGTTATAATCTGTTTAATGTAGAAAATGATTATGTGTTTTCAATTATGGATCCATTTCGTTATTTCAAATTCAAATATAAAATGAGATGAAATAATATGACGAAATTAATTGAAGAGATTGTATTATCGATGTTAACGAGCAACCGAAAATGATTGATTGATATACGTATCAATGAAAATTACAAAATTGTCCCGGTAGAAACGTGAAAGAATATTTCATTCACGATGTCCATTGAATTTATATTTTTCATAATTCATACCTTGCATATAATACAAATTCATGAAATGAAATGGAAACGTGAAACATTGAAAACAACGTAATTTTATCAAAAAAATTACAAAGAGTAACGCGAAAAATTATAAATAATAAAGTTCTCTGAATTCGTTGTAACGTATTCGTCGATTTAATGAAAGAAATGGTTCATTATAGCATTTATTCATTGCAGGGTCATTTATTGTAGATGCACCGGGGATTTTTATACACATTCGTAGTTTCCTGAACGTAATTATAAAAACTGAGTTTAAATATGAATGTATTTCACCTATTAAGTATTTGCAGCGAATGAAAGTATTTGAAACATTTCACACATTTTTCTATGTTACCTGCGCTATACACTATTAAATTTTTTAATTTTACAGATACTAGAAACTCTGCAGGTCTCGTTATAGGATACCCCACTGTGTTTATCTTTCGATTACATGTAGATATTAATTTTTCATCATTGTCTCAACTTCACGCAAAGGGAGTAAATTAAGTTGAAAAGGGAATACGGAAATACAGGTAAAAAGATTAAAATGAAAATAAGATAATTACGTAACGATACGAGAACAGCCACCAGAATCGAGCAATTTCAATTTCTGCGCAAACGTAACATATTCTCGAGAAAGTTGCCGCAAGCTGACGAATAAGAAGCGGATATCATTCGTCGTAGAAATTATCCTGGCAATATAATTTACGCGAACGGCCCTGTAATTCGACGTTCGTTAGGGATTAATTGAGGAAGCGAAATTAACACTTTCACCGGGGTACCCTATCTCCTCGTAGTAACTCGCAAATCGAAGATCTAATGTCAATGGGACGAGACCAGTCCC